ATCACATGGGTACAATACATTTTTGCTAAGTATTGCCACCCTACTCTGCTATCAAACGTCAAATTTATTCCTTCTGTCTTGCTGTTCGTTTGTACCTTATAATCCACTTCTCTTCATTCCCTGCCCCCCAACTCAGTCCCTTCTCTATTATCTGTCTTTCCATGCTCTACCTTCAGATCATCAAAGTTTTTGTGTGTTTTGTTTGTTTTTGTTTTGTTTTATTTTGAGACAGTCTCACCCTGTCGCCCAGGCTGGAGTGCAGTGGCGCAATGCCAGCTCACTGCAACCTCCACCTCCTGGGTTCAAGTGATTCTCCTGCCTCAGTTAATCCTGAGTTGCTGGGACTACAGGCGAGTGCCACCATGATTGCCTAATTTTTGTATTTTTTAGAGACCAGGTTTCACCATATTGGCCACGCTGGTCTCAAACTCCTGACCTCACGATCCGCCCACCTCGGCCTCCCAAAGTTCTGTGATTATAGGCATGAGCCACTGCGCCTGGCCGGTCATCAAAGTTTTTAGCTCCCACTGACAAATATCATTTGTATCTTACCAGTTTTCTACAAATTAGCACTTTACAGTCTGTGCTCCTGTCAATAGTAAATGCGAGTTACTTTCTCCTAGAGACATAATACTCCAGAGAAGCATTGTCCATATTAATATAGTGCAAGTTAAATATGTACATATGCTTTTTTTTTTTTTTTTTTTTTTTTTGAGACAGAGTCTCACTCTGTCACCCAGGAGTGCAGTGGTGCAATCTTGGCTCACTGGAGGCTCCACCTCCCGTGTTCAAGCAATTCTCATGCCTCAGCCTCCTGAGTAGCTGGGACTACAGACATGTGCTATGTCACCCAGCTAATTTTTGTATTTTTAGTAGAGGTGGAGTTTCACAATGTTGGCCAGGCTAGTCTCAAACTCCTGGCCTCAAGCAATCTGCCCACCTTGGCCTCCCAAAATGCTAGGATTATAGGTCTGAGCCACTGAGCAAGGCCTCAAGTCGCATATGTAATGTTAAATTTTCCAGTAGCCACAAGCAACTGATACAATTAATTTTGATAATACATTTTATTTAACCCAATATGTCTAAAAGATGAGTATTTCCACATGAAATCAACATAAAAGATTACTGATGAATTATTTTACATGCTTTTTTTTTCTAAGTCTTGGAAATCTGATGTTACACTTACCACATATCTCAAGTTCAAACTAGCCACATTGCAAGGGTTCATGCCGCGTGGGGCTGGTGGCTATAGTAATGGATAGCACAGCTTCAGTGCAGTGGTTTTCAAACTTCAGGGTACACCAGCCTCACCTGAAGGGCGTATGAATGCACAGATGTGTTCTGACTCAGCAGGTCTGAGGTGGGGGCTGAGATTCTACATCTGTAGCAAGATCTCAGGTGACGCTGACCCTGCTGGTCTTGGGGGGTGGTGCAGGCTCTCTGACTGGGGACAGCCTTGTGGACTACCAGCTGGGAGTGAGGTTTCAGTGGCACCATGGATGCCTTCGGCTATGTGCTAGCTCTGAGGACCGGACCAGAGGGAAGGGAAAAGGGGACTGACCCTCAGCCCCCAGCCGCAGACCCAGGCATTGTGCCACTGCTTTTATTCACCCACAATCTGCAGGTAATGCAAACACTGAGGTGTCCCCATAGACAGAGGTGCTGGCAGGGCTCTAGGGCTCTCAGGGAGGGGTGGGCCTTGAAATCTAGAGTGGCCAGAAAATGGTGGCTGGACAGGGCGTGAGACTTGGTGTGGACCCAAAGGACAAATGAAACCTGTACTGGAAAGGGACATCGGGAAGATCTGCTGAGCAAAGGCTTGGGGAAGGACCAGTGAGGGAGCAGGACCCTGCAGGAAACCACAGCCTTGGGGAGAGCAGAAGTAAAGGATGTCCCAGAGGCAGGACTAGAAGGTGTCACGGTAACCATCAATGGCTACTCTCCCTTCATGGATGTGAAAAGATTTATCTACCCCAGGTCATGCAGAGAGTCCGGCCCTGGCCAGAGCCCCTATCTTGGCCCCTTCCCAAGGACCCTTACTCTTGATTCTGTAGGTTTGAGTGGACTGGGGTGCAGTGGGCACATGTGTCATCTTCTGGTGCAGTCCTATGCTTGTCGCATCTTCAGTGGTACCGAAAGGTGAGCACTCAATCTCTTTAGGACAGAGACTGTGTCCCATCCTGGTGTTTTTCCCTCCATCTAGCATTGTTGAAGGACCAAACACATGGGTACTTAATTTAAAGGAACTGGTCTGCACTGCATGTGTGACTAGGGAGTCTGTACCCTGTCACATGTGCATGTGGGGCATGGATGGCGAACATGTCATACATGTGGGTGTAGTGTGTTTACATCATAGGGTATCATAAAGGGTGTAGGGAGTGGTTACTGTAGCAACTAATAAGAGAGAAATGGAGTGCCTCCACCATGCAGATGTGCCTCTCAGGAGCATTGGGGGTGTCTGCACCTTGGGGTGACCCATGGCGGGTATATATGGTGTCTACACATTGGTGACTACTGTTTGAGGCATAACAGCTGTCTGCACTGCAGGGTGTCTGGATTGGTAGGGGTAAATGGATTGTCTACACTGTAGGGGTGCACCGTTTGGGGAATAAAGGGGGTGCCCACTGTGTGGGGGAACATGACAAGTGCTAGAAGTGTAGACAGAGGCAGGACCCCAGGGAGATGCATCTCCAGCAAGGTGACTGCCACCAGCTCCCAATGAGGGGCTGCCCCCTGGGGACACCTGAGTTCTAGGGCCAGTGCTTACTCCTCCCAGCACTTGGGGACCTCTTTTTGGGGGACTGGGCTTTCAGGGCCTGTAACAAATCTTCCTCTGAATGGGAATTTCTTGTTTGCAGACTTTGCAGGCAACACTGGTAAATTAAATGAACGTTCAAATTTGGGGTATATAAGTAGTACGTGAGTAACTAATACAGGGGTTAAAGGTCCACCCAGGTCTGGGACCCTTGTATTTCCTTTTTCTTTTTTTTTTATAGACGGAGTCTTGCTCTGTAGCCCAGGCTGGATCTCGGCTCACTGCAACCTCCACCTCCCAGGTCCCAGTTCAAGCAATTCTCCTACCTCAGCCTCCCAAGTAGCTGGGATTACAGGTACAAGCCACCATGCCCAGCTAATTTTTGTATTTTTTAGTAGAGACAGGGTTTCACCATGTTGGCCAGTCTGGTCTTGATCTCTTGACCTCGTGATCCGCCCACCTCGGCCTCCCAAAGGGCTGGGATTATTACAGGTGTGAGCCACCGCGCCCGGCCTTGTATTTGCTTTAGTAAATACTATGGTAAAAATATCTCCCAATTGGGTGGAGGTAAAATCAGGAAGCTGACTGATGAGGAGCTCATACAGTGGCCTAGGAGGCAGTGCCGCATGCCAGGACCTACTGCAGATGTTAGCCCTGCACTCTACAATTTGTAAAAGGCATCTTCCCAGATGCTCACAGAGTGCTATAGAGCTTGAGGCAGATACTGATCATATTCAGAGTTTACTAAGAGTACAACAGGGCCAGGCGCGGTGGCTCACACCTATCATCCCAGCATATTGGGAGGCTGAGGCGGGCAAACCCCCTGAGGTCAGGAGTTCGAGACCAGCCTGGGCAACATGGCAAAACCCTGTCTCTACTAAAACTACAAAAATTAGCAGGGCGTGGTGGCAGGTGCCTGTAATTCCAGCTACTCAGAAGACTGAGGCAGGAAGAATTGCTTGAACCTGGGAGGCGGAGGTTTCAGTGAGAGATGGCACCATGACACTCCAACCTGGGTGACAGAGCAAGACTCTGCCTCCAAAAACAAAACAAATCAAAACAGTACAACAGCCAGAGTATTGTTCATGGCTACCTTACTGGTAGGCGACAGGACCAAGGCCAACTGCCAGGAAGGAGAGGAAGACTAACTGCTCATGTATTTGTTCAAAAAGCAGCCTCTTCAGTGCATATGTGTTTTCTTCCCAGTAACTCTGTGTAAACAAGAAGACATTCACGGTGTATCTGTACCACATGTCTGACAGATACACCATGTGTATGTGGTGGGTATGTGCTCTGTGTGATTAAGCTTTTCCTGCGTGTATAATGGTTATAACATGTGTGGGAGGAGGATCTGCCATGTGGGAGGGGAATTTGCTCAGGGCATCTGCTATACGGGATGGCTTTACAGTATTTGCAATAACTACATTTTGGGTAATCATTTATAACATAAAATGTGTATTAATGTATTTGTTCTGTGTATTTTCTGTTTATCTGTGCATATACTGTGTGGGGTGGGCATACACTGTGCGTGATGGATACAGGCTCTGTGTCTGATTACTATGCCACTACATGTGTGATGAGTGCAGGCTATATATGGAGTACATGTTGTTTATGCTTGTGTGAAGGTTATACCCCGGGTGTGTGTGGTGGCTGTATTTTGTAACAGTATACAAGGCATAAACAGTGTCTACAAAGAATATGCTGTGTATGAGGAGTGTACATTGTGTGGGTAATGGGTATACTCTGGGGAGGGATGTGTTGTGTGACAGATGTTCTATGTGGTGATAAGCATATACTATGACATACACATAGTGTGTGATAAGGTTACGTTGGGTAAGTGCACACATGCTATATACGGAGCATACGTTGAATGTGTATGGGTATACAGTGTGGTGGGAATAATGACTAATAGGTATATGCAGTGTATATGATGGACATACTCTTTATGAGGAATATATATTGTGTGGGAGTGCTACATATACACTTTGTGGGATAAATAAGCACTGTGTGTATGGTACACTGTGTGTATGGTTGTGTAGCAAAGTAGTCATTGTGATGGGTCTATTTGGTGTGTATCAGGCACCCTGTGTATATGCAGGCCATGATGGGAACAGGGGTGTGTGGCTGAGTGGGAGCAGGCAGAGGGGAGTCATCCTGCTGGGAGGAGGCATGGCAGGGAGCAGTTGGATCCTCATCTGTTTCCAGAACCCCCAGACCCTTGAGCCCACCGACCACACTGTTTCAGGTTCTTCCTCAAGTTCTTCCTCAAATGCAACCAGAACTGCCTGAAGAATGCGGGGAATCCCCGAGACATGCGCCGCTTCCAGGTGGGTCTGGAGAGAGGGTTTCCCCTTGCAACCCCACCCTTTCCTGAGGGAGGGGAGAGGAGGGGGAAAGGAAGGCTGTGACCCTGCCACCCTGGGCAGATCTCTGCCCAGCCCTGTGCCTCCCCAGCCTGGAGCCTGCTGGGGGTGGGGCAGCTCCTTCTCAACTTATGCTGGCTGCCAAGGGAGGCTTCATTAGAGTCCCACTTAAGAAGATGCTAATTGTGACATTTTTACATGATTAACGACCCAGGCAATTTGCATAGCGTGAAGCGGAGAGCAGCTGCCCTCAGCACATCCCCAACCTGCACACCCCTCCCAGTGCAGGGGAGAGAGGGAAGAAGGCAGCCCCAGTTTTCTTCCCAGAATAGGGCAGGGGCTCCTGCTGATGGGTTCTCCAGCGGATGCTAGCTCCCTCTACTTGCCTCAGACACCATTCCTGCCTTGGAGGCCCGTGAATGCAGCCCCGCATTCCTGTGTATGCAAAAACAGTAGCAACCCTTTGCCCAAGGAGCCAGTTTTTTCAGGGGTCTTTATTTTTGTCGCTCTGGGGAGTCAGTTCATCTGGGAGTGTCACCTGATCCAGCTGGCCCCGTTCCACCAGCTCAGACACGGCCGGACTGAAGCCCTTCACCTCCCACCAGTGACCCTAAATTCCAGCATCCAGCCACCAGCCTCAAGGTGCTGGTTCCCCACCACAATCCCCTCCCGGGAGCCCCCGAGGGCCCCAGCCAGGCTGGCCTCCGCTGTCCTCGCAGGTGGTGGTGTCCACGACGGTGAGCGTGGACGGACACGTGCTGGCCGTGTCCGACAACATGTTTGTGCACAACAACTCCAAGCATGGCCGCAGGGCGCGCCGCCTGGACCCCTCCGAAGGTCAGGACCCCCGGCCCAGCCCCGGCCGCCGCGGGCCCAGCCAGCCCCCAGGCCCCACCTCCGCGCGGTCCCCTGACCTGGGTCCTCTCCTGCCTCCCAGCTGCCACCCCCTGCATCAAGGCCATCAGCCCCGGGGAGGGCTGGACCACGGGCGGCGCCACCGTCATTGTCATCGGCGACAACTTCTTCGACGGGTTGCAGGTCGTGTTCGGAAACGTACTCGTGTGGAGCGAGGTGGGCCAACCCCGCCAGTCTCCCTCGGGGCCTGGGGGCTGGGCCCTCCCCTCGCCGGTGCGGGACCTGCAGGCCTCCCCTCTCCTCTCGCAGCTCATCACGCCCCACGCCATCCGGGTGCAGACGCCCCCGCGGCACATCCCCGGGGTGGTGGAGGTGACCCTCTCCTACAAGTCCAAGCAGTTTTGCAAGGGAGCCCCCGGCCGCTTTGTCTACACAGGTGAGGAGTCGGGCGGGGCAGGGGAGGTCTAAGGTGCGTGGAGGGAGCCACACCCCGCGCACGCGCATGGATCTGGGTTCTTGGAGTTTGGAGTTAGCGGAGCGCTACGCTGTGGCCACGCCCCCTAGGCGGCTTCGGGCCGCCTCCAACCACCAATGCCTGTGACCGCTCGGCTCAGGACAGTCTTTCCCTGGATCTGTGTGTTTCCCTCCCTGGCCTCTGGCTCCATAATCCTTTCCTACAAAGTGTCCCGCACCCCCCCTCCCCGCCCCACAACCAACATTCTTTCTCCCTCGGCAATCTCACTTCCTGAACATTGTGTCTCCCGCCCGCAAACCCTCCAGGGTTTAGAGACTTTCCAAATGGGTGTTTATTTCAAAGATGCCACCAAATGGGGTCGCTGCTCCCCGAATCTTCCCTGGGTCTCTTGGTTCCCCCACGCTACCCCAGGCCTCACTGCATATACACGCGCACACACCTGCGTACATACACAGACACACCCCTTGCCAGGGTGAGCAGTGAACACGCGTAGAGATGCAGTGTAGAAACCCCCAGCCCGGCTCTATTTGGCCGCTGGCCGAGTCTTCTCCATTTCCATCCTCCCGCCCCGCCCCGCCCCAGCCAAGCCACCCCACTGCACTCCTCACCAGCGCGCTGCCCCACCCCCCGACACACACACACATCGATGCTCATCGAGCCCTTCGAGGGACACTCGGTAGTGACCCTATTTACCCTCAGGGAGGCTCCAGTCTAACACGTAAAGGCTGAGCAGAGAACCGCGTGGGGTGGGTGGGGTTACACGGTCCAGGGGCTGACAGTCAAGGAAAACCTCCGGTAGGGAGGGTCTGCTGAGCCCTGCAAGGAGGAAACCCAAGGGCTGAGTGGGAGGTTGATCTGGGGAAGGAAGGGCGGTCGCAGGAGATGGAACGACCAGTGCCGAGCCCCAGAAATGTTTTCCTCTTTGCCGGGAAACTAAAGGAAATACACTAAGTCAGAATTAGAGATCAAGGCAGGGCATTAAGACTGGTGGATTAGGTCGGGCCAGGCTCTCCCAAGAGGAAGGTGCGGGAATCCGGAAAAGGGGAAGGAGGAGGAGAAGAGCGTAGGGAGCTGGGTCAGACACACACACACACACACACACACACACACACACCCCTTGCACAACGCCAGGGTAAGCAGTGAACACAACACACATGGAGATGCAGTGTGGAATCTGGCCGCTGGCCGAATCTTCTCCACTTCCGTCCTCCCGACCCAGCCCAAGCCACCCACTTCTCCAGTCGCTTCCCTGGGGTGCATTCAAACCTCTAGCCCTCAGATGCTGCGGAGGGTCCACTCGAGCTGTGATAAATGGAGATTGTTGAGTTTTTTCTTTTTTATAATGAACTCCCGATCTGACTGGATGCAAAGAGAAAACTCTCCATGGAGTCCTGCCCTTAGGAATATAGGTCGTATGTGTATATAGTTTTCCTTTTTTCTAATCACAAATGGGATCGTATAGTGCATGTGTGTTCATGCCAAGCGCCTAGCGCAGAGGACAGAGCCTGGCTCCGTAAATATTTGTTGAATGAACAAACGGAACTGAAACTTCCCCGAACCTCGCTGCCGGGTGTGCCTGGAGTTTTCCCGGGGACTTGGGCTGGACCTGGTGGAGGGGCTGCGGGCGAGGCTTCTGGACTGGGTGCTGACCTGCTTTTGGCGCCCTGAGTCCCACTCTGGGAGTAGGGGGGCTGCGAGGGAGTCCTCCAAACGCCGCCTCTCTCCCCAGCCCTGAACGAGCCCACCATTGACTACGGATTCCAGAGGCTACAGAAAGTCATTCCCAGACACCCTGGAGACCCCGAGAGGCTTCCCAAGGTACTCAGAGGGGTGGGGCGGGGCTGAGGGTGTCCCGTGGGGGAGGGGGTGAGGAGGGGCTCCAGGGGCCCCTTCGTCGCCCCCAGGAGCTGCCCCTCCGTCCCGCCGTCTCTTCCTTTCCCCAGGAAGTGCTGCTGAAGCGGGCGGCCGACTTGGCGGAGGCCCTGTACGGAGTGCCAGGCAGTAACCAGGTATGGCGCCTCCGCCCTCCCAACGCCGCCCGGCCCGGGGCTCCCCAGCACGCGGCGCCCGCGGCTGCCCCGGCCGTGCCCCGCTCTTGTCTTCGCAGGAGCTCCTCCTGAAGCGCGCGGCGGACGTGGCCGAGGCTCTGTACAGCGCCCCCCGTGCGCCCGGGCCTCTCGGACCCCTGGCCCCGAGCCACCCGCACCCTGCTGTCGTGGGCATCAACGCCTTCAGCAGCCCGCTAGCCATCGCCGTCGGGGACGCCACCCCGGGGCCCGAGCCGGGTGCGTGCGCCGCGCCTCCCCGCCGCCCTTGGGCCCCGCCACTGCCCCTCCCCGGCCGGCGCTGCCCTCTGACGGCCGCGCTCTCTCTCGCAGGCTACGCGCGCAGCTGCAGCAGTGCGTCCCCCCGCGGGTTCGCGCCCAGCCCTGGCTCGCAGCAGAGCGGCTATGGCAGCGGCCTCGGAGCTGGCCTGGGCGGCTACGGCGCACCGGGCGTGGCCGGCCTCGGTGTGCCTGGGTCCCCCAGCTTCCTCAACGGCTCCACCGCCACCTCGCCCTTCGCCAGTGAGTGTCTCCCGCCTGCGAGGGGAGGGCTGGGGCCGGGGAGCGGAAAAGGGCTCAGCCCCGCCCCCGCCCATCCCGGAGGAGTTGAGGCGCTGGCGCCTTGAGGGTCCACCCTGGCCCAGCCCTCGGGGGGAGGCCCACCGTCCCCGCCTGGGACCTCCCCTGCGGTCGGACCTCAACCCCACCCCTAGGCTGTACATCCCGGGGTCCTGGGGCCAGAGTACTTTGTGCATCTTTAGCCTTCTTTGCCGATCCGTCATGCACATCCCTTCTAGGCCTCCAGTCCCCATGAAGTGGGCTCTAAGGGGTGGCGGTCGTCCGGCTGCAACCTGGGACACCGCCCCCTTCCCCTCTTGCGCCGGGACTTGGGGAGGAGGCTGGCGCCGCCTGCCGGAAGCCTAAGGAAACTCAGGGCTCGAGGGAAACGGGCTTCCTTCTCGCCGCCCCCAGCCCCCAGGACTCCCAGAGGCCCGGTGGGCGTGGGGAGGATGTGGTCCCTGCGATGGCGTCCGACAGAGCGAGCGAATTCTGTGTGATCAGACAAGTTGAGTTTCAGTGTCCGGATCAGGAGCTGCCGGGCATTCAGCAAGTTACTTGTTTGAACTTGTTTCCTCTCAAATAGGGTCAATTCCACCCCCTGCTTAAGGTTGATCTCGGATCTGAAAGTGCCAGTGTGCCTAAAGGGCCAGGCAAAATTCTCAAGGATGTATGATTTCGGAGTCCCAGCCCTGACTGTGAGCTCTGACCACCTCCCATCTGGCTTCTTAGAGTGGGGAGCTCACAGCTGGGTGGATGGACAATGTCTTTGTGTCGTGAGTGAGTCTGTATGTCATTCCCTGTGGCTCTGATGCCTTGTCATTTTACACTGCCCTCAAGTCCCTACCAACGTCAAGTTCCAGATCAGCGTGTTCACAGCTCTTTTGAGCTTAGCCATTCAGCAGACATTTGTAAAGCTCCCACTGTATGCAAAGCCCAGGGCTTGGAGGATCCCCCCACTCCTGTCACCTGCAAGAAGCCTCCATATCAATCATAAGAGAGGTTGTCCCTCAAGTCCCAGGTGACTCTGCAGTGCTGGAGAAGTGGCGAAGTCTGTCCCAGAAGGAACTGGTTGTGGCTTTGCCTGTGGTTCCCTCCCCTCCCCCTGCCCCGTATTTGCCATTGCTGAGACTGCACTGTCAGTCCGCCCGCCTAGCTTTCCTTGTAGGGCCTGTGTCCTGCCTGCTGCTGTTTCTGGCTGAAGGCTTGAGTCCGGCCCTTTCCTCCAGCCAGAGCTTCTGGGACCCAAGGCCCCATAAGCCAGAGTCCGCATAGGCCATGGCCCTCTGGCGTCCCTCCCAAGGCCCCCGCCTCTCCTGGCTCTTTGCTCAAACCAGGCTTGACTGCTCCTGCTTTCCTTCAGTTCTGGGGCAGTCCCTTCACAGCCTCTCTGTGGGCACCCCCTTGGTTTTGAAACTTTCCCCTTGGGCCAACACTAGGGGAGTCTGGAACATTGGTCTCCTCCCACACATACAGTGTGGCCAACAGTAGGGGAACACACTGCCCCAGTGTGCAGAAGCCAGCCCACCTGGGGTCTTCTGATTCAGCAAGAAGATCAAGAATTCCAGAGCTGCTTAAACCCAGCATCAGCTGGAGACACGCTGGACTTGAGGGAGGGTTGGTCCCATTTCATGATATTGTCTTGACCAGGGCTTACCCGGGTACCCTTCCACTCACCACGTGCAGGGTGTTTTGTGGCCCAACTCCAAGAGGTATCATTCTCATTGAGTTTGCCAGAACATTCCTGGAATGACATCAGAACTGTCCCAGCCAGAGGCTCAGGGGCTATTTGCTTGGATCTCTCTTTGTTCTGCTTCAGCCACAATTCCTGGAATGACTCACAATTCCCCATGCTACCTATCCAAAGTGCACAATGTGGCTGTGAGCCCTGGGTGCTGAGAGCTATAGTACATTTTCTGGCAATGTTCTCAAGCCCTTCATCAGGTTCTGGGGGCCCCTCCAGCTAGCAGTAACTATTAAAGGAAATGAGGCTGAGGGCATTGGGAAGAGGGGCAGCTGTTGAAGGCATTATTGTATCAAGGGGGGGTAGGAGGGTCCTCTGGTGCCAAAGGCAGCCTTCTCGGGCTATTGCTTCATCCAGGAAGCTTCACTGAAAAGTGTCGATGAGAAGTGTCATTCTCATTGAGTTTGCCAGAACACCCTACTGCCTGCTGCCAGGACAATACTCAAATCACGGCTTTACGGGTCTTTACAGGAGAGAGGCAGGGAACTGGATTCCGATGAGGATGTAGAAAGGTGGGATCCAGTGATTCCCTGGGCCTGAGCCCTCAGGAGAGAAGGCTGCAGGAAGAGGGGGCAGGCAAAGCCTGTGTGCAGGAGGCTTCCCTTGCCATTCCCAGGAGGGCAAGCCACAGGCTGGATGGCTAGGGGGTTTGAGAACAGGAAGATCTGAGGATGTAGATCGCTGCACTTTTCTTTAAAATTGACCAGCTGAAAGAGGGAGATTCAGGAGACTCCCAGGGTCCCAGCTGGAGATGATAAGGACCTGCATTAAGCTGTAAGGAAACAAAGTGACCCAGCATGCAGGGGGAGGTGGGAGAGGGACAGAGGAGCACAGGGGACATTGGCAAGGAGAGCATATTTGAGGAAGTTGGAGCCCTGTTTGTGATGTTGGACAGAGAGGCCTTGTAACACCCTGACTACTTGCTCCAGCTTATCTGTGACCCCTGAACTTTGACTCTAGCCTTGGCACCCCAGGGCGCATAGGTGTTTCCTAGCATCTCAGAATCCCAGGGGCTTTCAGCAGAAATCCTGAAATAGTCCAGCTGTTGCTCATCTCATCTTTGGGGGCACCTCCCACGGTCTGGTTTTATTGAATGTTCTGGTTTTGCTTTTGTCTTCACCTGGTCTGGCCCTGTCATTCCCCATCCCCAAGAAAAGGTCTCCAGAACCCTCAACAAGGCAGGGCTGGCGCAGGACCCTCACAGCTCCCAGTGAGATCTGAGCCTGGTACCTGGGTCAGCAGCCCACGTGGGGCCCCAGCCCAGCTGCTCACTCTGGTGCTGTCTCCCTGTTGTGTCTCCCACTGCCTTCCCTGCTGCGCCTGCCCCTCCCCGCCCCGCCCCGGAGTCATGCCCTCTAGCCCCCCACTGGCGACCGCCTCCTCCATGTCCCTCCCGGCCGCTGCCCCCACCACCAGCGTCTTCTCCTTCTCGCCTGTCAACATGATCTCCGCTGTCAAACAGAGGAGCGCCTTCGCCCCCGTGCTGCGCCCCCCGACCTCCCCGCCCCAGGCCTGCCCCAGAGCCCACGGAGAGGGGCTTCCAGGTGAGTGATCCACCCTGCCTCACTGGAGCAGGAAGGAAGGGCCCTGGTGGAGCAGCTGGGCAAGGGAGGGCCGCTCCATCTGTACCTCATCGGTGTCTCATGCTGGCTGACCAGCTCTTCTTAGAGGATGGAAAGCGGGGAGCTCTACAGGAGTCCAGGGAGGTCCCTCTGGCCCCCACTCCCCTGGCCTCTCAGTGTGGGCTGGTCACCCCTCTGGATGCTCTCAGTTGACCACTTGGCCAAGGGGAAGAGACTCAAATCACAGTTGATGAAGTCTAGAAATTACCCCAACACCCCTTCCTCATTCAGCTGAGCCCAGAGCAAAGACCCTCTGAGCTGGAGGGAGGACCCTATGTGGGCTGCGCGCCTATGCCTGTGCCTTTCTGTGTCCACCAGAGGGTAGCACACACCGCTGTGAGGGACCAGGTCTCTGACAATTGGAAGGGGACTGACCTCAGATGAGGCTTAGCTCAGCTTCCGTCCTTGCCTTTTACAGATTAAGACTTGAGACCAAGTCATCCTCCCACATCCTCCCCCTATTCATTGAAATGCAGAACCTTTTCACCACAGAACCTTTCTTATCCAGGTGGTCACTGGAAACTCACTGGCAGAACAGAGGAGGGGACCGGCTGTGGAAAATGAGGAGGCAACAGGATGTGGGTGGGCCAGAACGGGTCCCTGTTGATGATGATGGCAGGGGCTGGGGCCAGTGTCTTCCCTAAGAGGCTTATAGGTGTTTTCTCATCTGGCTAAAGGATGCTTCCATAGGATCCCCTAGGCCTCAATCTGGCACATAGCAGGTGCTTAAGAAATAGTAGCCGAATTATTGAATGGCTATATGGGTTGGAAGGGCACTGTTCACACCCACACAGAAGGCTGCAGTGCAGTTTGTGGGGCACTGATCTGGAAGAGGTTGGGTTAGAGCATGTCCTATTGAGTATTCCCCAAGACAGTAATGGGTAACCATTAGGAAAGAATCAGTGTACGCATTAGGTAAGTGGCTATTGAAGACTTTGTCAGAGCCTTTCATGTACATTGTGAGCCTTCTAGGAAACAGGACGTGCAAATTTATTTGAGCACAGAATGTATTTTTCTAAGAGCATCTTGAGATTCGTTCCTGGGGAATGACCTTGAGATGCAGGAAGAGACACCTCGTGGTTTCCTCAGCCTGATGTGGAACTGATCAGGCTGGGATGCCTGTCCCAAGAGCAAGGCCAATGGCTTGGGCCCCAGAGCCATCTCCAAATCTAAGGCAGGAGCAGGTGGGGCAGCCTCCAGGCCAAGGCAGGGGAGTCCGAGGCTGTGGACAATGCTCTACGGAGCCTCTGTTCTCCAAGATCACTGTATGAGAGAGCCCGGGTATGCTGGAAGGAGGGTGAGGAAGCTCCGGGCCTGGGAGAACAGCTGAGGATGATGCATGTCCATGGAGTCCCGCAGCATCTGCTGTTCTCGGGGCAGTCAGAGCAACTAAGTGCAGCCCAGAAGCTTCTGAGCACTGTGCTGATGCCTGCCCTGCACATAGAATGGGGCCCTTCCCACCAGAGACCCTCCTCTGCACAGTACAGGCAGGCCTGTGATGGTGACTCAAGTAATAACAGACTTTTATGCCAGGGAGGGCAGGCGGGCAAGGGGGCTGCTTGGTGACCCAACCAGAGGGTGGGCCATCTTCAGAGAGGGCCTTGCCCAAGCAGGGTTTGAAGAAGGAGGCAGGGGTTCTTAGTGGAGGAGGAATGCCCTAGACGGAGTAGGCCTCAGGTGTGTAGGTGGGAAGGCAGAGATTTGGAGCCCACATGCAAAACATTAAGAACATAACATGGAGCTGGGCACGGAGGCTCACACCTGTAATCCCAACACTTTGGCAGGCCAAGGTGGGCAGATCACTTGAGGTCAGGAGTTCAAGACCAGCCTAGGCAACATGGCGAAAACTCATCTCTAAAAAAAAATGCAGAAATGAGCTGGGTGTGATGGTGCGTGCCTGTAATCCCAGCTACTCAGGAGGCAGAAATGGGAGGATCACTTGAGCCTGGGAGGTCAAGGCTGCAGGGAGCCAAGATCGTTCCACTGCACTCCAGTCTGTCTAGCCTGGGCAACAGAACAAGACGTCTCAAAAAAAAGAAAAAAAAAAAGAACATAACATACAAATATATACGCCAACGATTTATTTAACTCATTAATGAGGGAGCTAACAGGTTGACAAAGCGCCTTAAAGGAGACAATGTGAGACTGAGGCCAGTAAAACAAGGAGGGCCGAAATAAGATTGCTGGCTGCAAACTGCTTCTACAGAGCAATAAACTTGTAACTCTCCTCTGGGGATTGTCTTTTCTGCCAATGAGAAGTTATCTGCCATTTCTCAGTCTCCTCCAAGTTCGCATACATCCAACTGAACAGTCTGGGCCCTAGCCAGTAGCATAAAGTCAAAAGACGTCACATGGCTGGCCAGGCACAGTGGCTCACACCTGTAATCCTAACACTTTGGGAGGCTGAGGCAGGTAAATCACCTGAGGTCAGGAGTTCAAGACCAGCCTGGGCAACATGGTGAAACCCTGTTTCTACTAAAAACACAAAAATTAGCTGGGCACAGTTGTGCGTGCCTGTAATCCCAGCTACTCGGGAGGCTGAGACAGGAGAATCACTTGAGCCCAGGAAGCAGAGATTGCAGTGAACTAAGATCACACCACTGCACTCTAGCCTGGCGACAGAGCGAGACTCCATCTAAAAAAAAATTAAAAAGATGTCACATGCCCCAGAATAAGATGACTTTTAAGGTGGGTTTATTTTATAATGTTCTAGGGTGACTTTGAAAGGATACACAGTCACTTTTTTTTTTTTTTTTTTGGATAATTTTTCTTAGCTTAGGTGTGTCTGGAGCTTAGAATGTGAGGGACAGAGAGAACAGAGGGTCACCGATTTCTTCTGCCAGCAAAAAGAACCATGGGAGGGGTTCAGGCAGGGGCAGGAAGTGTGAAGTGATGAATTCCGTAGATGTGGGAGGCAGACAGGATGCTGCTGTGTGTATCAGTCAGTGCTCCTGAAGCTGGCCTCCTTCCTTTTCTGTCCTGGTATGTGGCCATGTGCTTGAAGAAGTAGATGGACCCTCTGAAGGAGACCACCCTGGGAGAAGGAGCCTGGGGTTGTCTCTCTTGAGGGAGGTAGGGACCATGGGCTTGGGCTGCCTCTCCTGAGCATCTGAGAGGCACCCATCATCCCTGATCTGCAGTGCTGACCCCAGGCCAGGGCTAGGGGTGGCTGAGTGCCTTCAGAAAGTGCTGTATGCCTTGCCTGCTATCTCTAGCCCAGAGAGTGACAGGCAGGTGGCTCCTCAGGCAGCACATGGCTTATGGGTCCTTTCTCCCTGACTACTGCAGACCAGCCTTTTGAGGATTCTGACAAATTCCACTCTCCAGCCCGGGGGCTTCAGGGCCTGGCATACTCCTAATTACGGTAAGTCTCTGGCTGGGTCTGGCCTCCCTGCCCCACCTGGCCCTGAGATGGGCTTGCTCTCTAAAAAGCCATAGCAGGGATGGGGAACTGGGGTGCAGGTCTGCCTCCCTGGGGCCCATCTAGACTGCTTTCTGAGGCATATAGCCCACCGCCGTAACCCAAGCTGAGCAGGTAGAGAGAAGTGGCTTCCTGTCCCCTGGCAACCAGCCTTCCTCCCCGACCTCCTCCTCTCCCTCTCTCACCCCGCCAGGTCTGCAGCTGTTGTTCCCATGGAGCCCGGACTGGAAGTCCCTCTGGGATTCACGGCCACACCCTGGATGGCGGCACAGAAAGATGCAGGGCCAGGGCTGTGGGCAGACCCCAACCCGTGAGCAGAACGGGGAGAGGCCTTCGTCCTGTGCTCAAGCCTCCCCACTAGCAGCCCCACAAGCTTCTCTTGCCTCCCTGTCTTGGGGTGGTCAGAAGCCCCAGCACTGTGCAGATGCTCTTGGCAGGAGAGCGTCCCAGGGAGGTGTTGGGATTCTGGGCCTGGCTCTCTGGGTCTTGGTTCCTCTGAAAGAGATGGATCTTGTGCAGACCAGGGATGTCGGATGAGGGGAGCATGGGATGGGGACCGTGGGAAAGAGGACAGCTCAGGGAGAAGTGACCTGGAAAGGTCCTATGTGCATCTGACCCATCTCAACTGGCCCAGCATCCCAACTTCTCTCCAGCGAAAGGGTGGCGCCCTGCAGCCTCGGGAGGCCTGCCCAGGCTCCCATGGAGCTTCCAACAGCTGCTTGGCCCCGCAGCTGCCCCACTTCCTTTGAGACCTGCACTCTCATGCTTGCCGAATCATGCCTCCCTGTGGGGGCTTTGGGCATGGAGGAGGCAGAAAAGGGGGTGCCAGGCCTCCTGTATTTGGGGTCTTCCCCCAGTGGATGTCTCGTGGACTGTGGCCCCACACGCAATGACTCTGGCTGGCCCCATGCAACGGGCCCAGCTGCCCCCCAGGTGGCCTCACATTCTGCTCTGCTAAGTTTGGAGAAAACAGAACAATAAACTACATGCAGGTGGCGCGCAGCCTCTCGCCTGCCTCCTTGGTGTGGGTTTGCTTTTCTCAGCTGCTGTTCAGCAGCTCTGGGGGTGGCTCCAATCCCTGCCCCAGGGCAGCCTTCTTGGGCCTTGGGCTTTTTAAACAGCCCCAGAGTCCGGCTAAGCAAGTTTTCCCTGCCCCGTGTCTGTTCTTGGAGACTGTTGGGGTAGGGGGAGCAGGCTAGCCCACCTGAGCTGTGGCTGGGAGCATAATAGGGCCACTGAAGACTCAGTCACCCAGCTCTCCGGTCAGGACCAAAGTGGGAGTTGTCAAGACATTGCTGAGAACCAGGACACACCAAACCAACTATGACCCAGATGTACAGTTTTTCTGAAGCTGAATCCCAGCTGGGAGGTCTGGGAGGCTGTAAAATGCATGCCTCAGAAGTTTTGCACCTGAGGAGTGCGGCAGCTGGGGTACTTACACACTAATTCTCATCAGTCAGTGGTTAGGGCTTCTGGGTGGAGTGGGAGGGCAACATTAGCTTTCTGGTACCTCCAGTCTTCCCCACAGGTGGTAAAAGAGTCCTAGTAGCTAGGGAAAACACTCAGACAAAGAGAAGCAGGTTGCTGACAGTTGGAATCAGACAGATGTACACAGAGGCAGTAAAGATGAGGGAATGCGGGTGGGGCACACAGTGTCTTCCCTGGATATGGTCCCTGGCAGTCATCCCGGGGGAGATGGTTTTTCCTACTTACAGTAAGTTTGGAAAAGGCATGGATTTCTCCTTTATCTGCAGGTCCCACCTCCACCTGGGACCAGGTGACAGAAACTGCCCAGGCTCTTTCTAGTAGAAGTACCAAGATGCCAGGTGACAAAGGGGTCCTCAGCATCAGCCCACCCCCAGGCTTCTAATGGGGGTGGGAGTAGGATGGGCACCAGACCCTTGGCTGGTCACCCTTCAGAGAGAGTGCCTCTCCAGTTAAGTCCTCGGCTTTCCTCTTCCAAATGTTTCCCAGCAGAACCAGGCTGCTGCATTTTGCACCCGACCCTGGGAACCAGACACTTCTGAGGCTACGTTTTGGCTAAGACAGGACCCGCTCTAGACAGGTCTCACTGGCTAAAGCCAGGCAGCAGCTTTGACTAGCCCTCTGCTGACTATTCTGCAAAAAATCCTTCTTCTCCCTGCCCCCTGCTCTTATTGGTGGAGCCCTTAACTTCTTCCAGAAAGAAAAATCTCCCAGAGAAATGGGAACTGCTGTGCAGTGTAGAAAGGATGGTCTTAAAAACTATGATGTTAGAGCCCAGGCAGCTACTCAGGAGACTGAGGCAGGAGGATTGCTTGAGCCCAGAGGTTCAAGGCCAGCCTGGGCAACAAGTGAGACCCCCATCTCTCAAAAAAGAAAATGGTGTTGGGTTAATTGAGTAGTCATCTGCAAAAATTACATTTGACCTCTACCTCACACCATATACAAAAATAAATTCCAAGTGGATTGTGAATGGAACTGTGAAACCTAAAGCAATAAATCTTTATGCCCTTGAAGATATTCTAGAAGCTTTTTGCCAGAGTGATATCCAAGGTCTATTTCCCTACTCATGTGACCAACTTTGGAATGAAGCAAGCACTGGACATATTTGAAATGGTTCAAATGGACCCCAAAGTCTCTTTTCACTTCTCTAGAAGAACTTTTCCAAATAGGAAAAAGTTCACAGTTCACAGTGTCTTTCTACCCAAGGAGAGACTAGGTCTTCACAGTGATTCCCCAAAGCTCTTTTTTTTTTTTGATACAGAGTCACTCTGTTGCCCAGACTGGAGTACAGTGGTGCAATCTTGGCTCACTGCAACCTCCACCTCCTGGGTTCAAGTGATTCTCCTGCCTCAGCCTCCTGAGTAGCTGGGACTACAGGCGCATGCCACCATGCCCAGCTAATTTTTTCTATTTTTAGTAGAGACGGGTTTTCACTGTGTTAGCCAGGATGGTCTGGATCTCCTGACCTTGTGATCCGCCTGTCTTGGCCTCCCAAAGTGCTGGGATTACAGGTGTGAGCCACCACACCTGGCCTCCCCAAAGGTCTTAACTGCTTATCCTGGGGCAGCCACCTTCCCCACCCCATGCGCAGCTTCCTCCTCTGCTACCACCTCAGTGGTGGTAATAACACCCACTGAATGATGGAAGGGAATGAGCCACCTCCTTGGAGCCACCAGCTTAGAAGTCAGCTGTTGACAAGAAGAACTTCAACATGAGAGTCCTGATGGGTACGAGGCATTGACCCCAAATATGGACCTAGGATTTTCTTATCACTTCCCCCATGCTCCCTTTCTCTTCACTCCCATTATGAGGTGTGTGTGTGTGTGTGTGTGTGTGTGTGTGTGTGTGTGAGGGTTTTGCTCTGTCACCCAGGCTGGAGTGCAGTGGCACAATCATAGCTCACTGTAGCCTCCAACTCCTGGGCTCAAGCAACCCTCCTGCCTCAGCCACTTAAGTACCTGGGTCACTATACCTGGCTAATTTTTTCAAGGGTAAGAGATGGAGGTCTCTCTATATTGCCTAGACTGGTCTCAAAAACTACTGGGCTCAAGTGATCCTTCTGCCTCAGACTCCCATAATGCTGGTATTACAGGTGTGAGCCACAGTGCCTGCCTTCATTATGAGATTTGTTTTGTTTTGTTTTGTTTTGTTTTGTTTTGTTTTGAGATAAGGTCTTGCTCTGTTGGCCAGGCTGGAGTGCAGTGGCACAATTACAGCTCACTGCAGCCTCAGGCTCCTGGCTCAAGTGATCCTCCTGCTTCAGCCCCCAGAGTAGCTGGGACCACAGGCACGTACCACCACACTTGGCTAATTTGTGTGTGTGTGCATTTTATACACACAAGTTTCTCCATGTTGCCCAGGTTGGTTTCAAACTCCTGGGCTCAAATAATCAACCTGCCTCAGCATCCCAAAGTGCTGGGATTACGGTTGTGAACCACATGCCCAGCCATTAGATTTTTGATAACCAGAATTTCTTTTTATTTATTTTTTTTTTGAGACAGAGTTTCGCTCTTGTTACCCAGGCTGGAGTGCAATGGCGCGATCTCGGCTCACCACAACCTCCGCTTCCTGGGTTCAGGCAATTCTCCTGCCTCAGCCTCCTGAGTAGCTGGGATTACAGACACGCGCCACCATGCCCAGCTAATTTTTTGTATTTTTAGTAGAGACAGGGTTTCACCATGTTGACCAGGATGGTCTCCATCTCTTGACTTCGTGATCCACCCACCTCGGCCTCCCAAAGTGCTGGGATTACAGGCTTGAGCCACCGCGCCCGGCCGATAACCAGAATTTCTTAATTGAATGTAGTCCAAGTCACCAATCTTTTCTTTCTGGTGTTTTTTTAATATGTTTCTTATTTATTATTTTGCTTCACATTTCCCCTCCCCTTTTGTATGCTTTTAAACAAATCTTTGGCTGGGTGCAGTGGTTAAGATTTTAAAATTTATTTTACTTTTTATTTTATTAATTTATTATTTTGAGATGGAGTCTCACTCTGTCTCCCAGGCTGGAGTGCAGTGGCATGATCTCGGCTCATTGCAACCTCTGTCTCCCAGATTCAAGCAATTCTCCTGCCTCAGCTTCCCAAGTAATGGGGACTATAGGCGCCTGCCACCACACCTGGCTAATTTTTGTATTTTTAGTAGAGAAGGGGTTTCACCATATTGGCCAGGCTGGTCTCAAACTTGACTTCATGAGCCGCCTGCCTCAGCCTACCAAAGTGTTGGGATTACAGGCGTGAGTCACTGTGCCTGGACTAATTTCTATTTTTTAAACCTGCTGGATTTTCATTGGGATTATATTAAATTTATAAACCAATTGATGGAGAATTGATCTCTTTAAAATACCGTGTGTTTCAATCTATGAATATTGCTTATCAAATTACTTTCTCCATTATTTCATTAATGTGCTGAATTACATGTCTAATTTTAAGCCATTGCATTAGCTAATTGTATGTTTAATTATAAACAGCCATTTTTTTTTTTTTTTTTTTTTTTTTTTTTTTTTTTTTTTTTTAGTGCAATGGCATGATCTCAGCTCACTGTAACCTCCCCCTCCCCTGTTCAAGCGATTCTCCTGCCTCGGCCTCCTGAGTAGCTGGGATTATAGGCGCCCACCACCATGTCTGGCTAATTTTTGTACTTTTAGTACAGTTAGGGTTTCACCATGTTGGCCAGGCTGGTCTGGAACTCCTGACCTCAAGTGATCCGCTCACCTTGGCCTCCGAAAGTGTTGGGATTACAGGCATGAGTCACCATGCCTGGCCTTATTCTTTATACAGGATATACCAATTATTAACACAGAGCCCACTCTCTCTCTCTCCTCCTTGCTCTGCACTACTCTAAGAAGGCCCTCGCCGGCCCTCGCCCCTCCCTGCTCCTCCTGGAGAAGCTAGGCTTCTGGAACACAAAACACAGACCTGCAGGCCACCTCGGCCCCTCACACTGCCATGCTGCCTTGGCCTGCCTTCCAGGAGCAGTGGAGGGAAAAACACAAGAACAAACACAAATTAACCTCTCACCAAGTCATGCTCCCCTGATTCTAACCCATCTTTTACCATTCTGTTCTAACCCTTAAGATTCAAACCCAACTGGGCTCCTTAGCTCCGGGTCCCCTCCGCTGGAGATCCAGAAGAGTCCTCGTGAGTCCTCTGCTCAGGAGCCCCTGCCACCATGCACCTCCAAAGGTGAAGGGCTCGAAGCGCCCTCCTTGCTTCACCTTGGCAGGGTAGCACAGAGTGGCCGCCTCAGGAGGGCGGGAGACCCTGGATTTGGAGCTGTAGAGACGGCCATGCCAAGTGGGTAGGAGGATCTCAGGGACCCCCACTGGAGACAGAATGGAAGAGAACTCATGACTCTAAAGATGCAGAAGAGGCTGCCTAGCAGGGCAGGAACAGAAACAAGACTGTTTTGTTTGTATACATTCCTTTTTGACTGTTTTATTCCTTGAGAGAGAAGGTGCCAGGTATTTGCAGGGGGAAGGAAAGCTGGCCATCCAGTAGCAGGTTTGCTGTTCCTGGGGCTCAGCATCGCAGCATCTTCATTT